CCCTGGGGCTTCCCAAGCCAAAGAAGAGGACGGAGCCGGTGAAGATCGCGGCGCCGGAGCTGCAGAAGGGGGATGTGAGTATCCGGGGAGGGCGCCCAGCCTAGGTGACGGTGGCCTCGACGGGACCCTTGTTAGAAACTCCTCCGTTGGCTCGAAGCCACCGGGACCCTCGAACCGGGCGAACCGCCGAGCCGAAGTCCGTCAGCTTTGGGGGGTTAGGTGTTCGGCCAGGCGGGTGATCAGAGCCGGGCTGTCTGCACAGGGCCACTGTCGTCATCGCCTGGCACTGACAGGTCCCGGTTCTTGCCTGGGGACCCTCCGTCCCAGTCGGTGTCTTCATCCCCGGCTCACTTTTCCCACATTCCTGTGCTGAGCGACAGGAAGAAGTCTGGCTCCTGAAGACACTGAATGTCCAGGACCGAGCCTTTCCTTTGCCGCCAAACTCAATCATCAGGGCCTGGGGGAAAGTGGGTCCCTGACACTGAGTTTGAGGCAGTTCGGGAAGAAATGGAGTCTTTGTTGATGGCAGGCACTGGCCCTTTCCTTCAGTGGCTGTGGAACCCTGGAGACCAGAAGCAGGAGGCTTAGCCGGCAGGGTCCTACCTGGTGGAGGGGGCAGGTCCTACCTGGTGGAGGGGGCAGGTCCTACCTGGTAGAGGGGGGGCAGGTCCTACCTGGTGGAGAGGACAGGTCCTACCTGGTGGAGGGCCGAGTGGGGATAAAGGCTGGGTCTCTGGGAGTCTCAGACCCGTGCCTGGGTTGTACCATTTTGGCATTTTCAGTCTTTGGCGGGTTAGGATGCTCGGGTACTATTTCTAGAACAGGCTGTCATGCTTATCTTGTTTCTAGATGTTGGAGCAGAAAAATAGCACAAAACCTGGGGCCTTGAGGGTAAAGGTGATTGGAAGTCAAGGGCAGGGACAGGTTTACCATTGCCAGGGAGCTCTTTCTTTATCTTCTTTGAGAAGTTTATTGGTCAATCCCTGGCTCACCTTTGATAACCTTTTTTCTGTACTGAGGATTGAACACAGGGATGCTCTACCACTGAGCTACACCGATGTATTTAGAGACAGTCTAGCTAAGTTTCCCAGGCTGGCCTTGAATTTGGGATCCTCCTGCCTCAGCTTCCCTAGCTCCTGGGATTATAGGCTGGGGACATTAATCTTAGCTGATCTTGGTCTTGTAATTTCTGTGTCTTTCCAACTCTGCCAGCAGTCATTTCTATTTTTGCATTTGTGGTTTCTTCCCCCAGATACCTTAATGTTTTATCCTCCTTCATGTAAAAGTCTTGGCATAAAAATATGGTTCTGCTGGGTGCAGTGGTACACACCTGTAATCCCAGTGACTCAAGAGGCCAAGACAGGAGGATCCCAAGTCAGAGGCTAGTTTTAGCAATTTATTCAGGCCCTGAGCAACTTAGTGAGACCCTGTCTCAAAATAAGAAAATAAAAAGTGATGAGGATATAGCCCCTGGGTTTAATCCTCATACCAAAAAACCCCCCAAAACCCATGTTTCTTAGGACTTCACCCCCGTCTACCTCATTAACCTGTTTTGCCCTATTGTCCCAAATGGGGAATGCCCATAAAAACTTACATATAGTACAAAATATATAATATATAATTATATAATAATAATTACATAATTATATAACTATTAGTATTAATATGATATTATAATGCACAAGCTCTAGATTATGATTTCAGCCTATTTTTTTTGGTACTGGAGATTGAACCCAGGGACACTTAACCACTGAGTCACCTCCCCAGCCCTTTTCATATTTTTTTTAGAGACAGGGTCCCACTGAATTTTTTAGCACCTTGCTAAGTTGCTGAGGCTGGTTTTGAACTTGTGATCCTCCCATCTCAGCCTTGTGAGTCCAGTTGCTCAGATTACAGGCATGGGCCATCATGCTTGGCCT